ACAATGCTTATCAGTTTGGCTCAAGAGTTTGTATCTGGATCTGGCATGTTTCTGGCCCTGTCTCCTTTACGAATCTAAACTTACCCTCGTTCTTCCCGGAGACACCGGACGCGACTCGCCCAGTGGTTTGCTCTGGCGGACAAAGATCGATCCAAAAGCATCGGCTCCCTGGCTGCGGACGTCCAGCGCCTTCGGTCGAGACCGGAAGCGGCGGTCCGACGGGTTTGGGAGCTCCATCGGATGAAACGTGGGTTTCTGCCTGGCTGAGCAGGCATGGGGATTCCTGGAATCAAGTCCGATGAATGATCGAAGAATCAATGAAACATGGGGTGAGTGAGATTGTTTGAGCTTGATGTTTTGGGGAGCTGGCCTACTGTGTGTTGGCACAGTTAAATATAGTCGTTCGGAATGGATATGGGAAGACTGTATCTCTTGCAGTCAAGCTATGAATTCTGTATGGGCAATAGAATCAATAATAAATCAAACATACCAAGCGACGAAAGGACACGCACCGTTCTTGGACTCCCTGTGAAGTCATTTTTTCGTCTGTTTCTTGAGTCATGGAAGATCCACTGGGAAGCCCCGTTTCAGCTTCTGAGCATCGCGTGCTTGAGCCCACGTTGGTGCAGCTTTTCTCGCGGGAGAAGGGATTGCTCACAGCCGTCGCCGAGGCTCCGATGAGTTCCATGCCTTGATGGATACGGCGGGACGACACAACGACGGGAGGGTGGTTTGCCCGGCTGGGCGGAGAAAAACCAGCACCGAGGGAGGTGTAGTAGAACTGAAGAAAGCTGTTTTTGCAGGGTGGTGGATGAGTTGAAAAAGGAAGGAGGTCGTGGTGCTGCCTGCACGAAATCATAGTAGCCGAGGGAGTGGTGCAGGAGTGGTAGTGGTTGTAGGTTGCAGTCGCAGCAGAATGGTAATGGGATGGACTCAATTTATAGTAGGCTTTGTGACTGGGGCCCTGTGTGGGATCTACGACCAAAACCAGGCAACATCTTGCCCTGTCTATCCCCAGGAGTCACAGAGGCCGAACTTGGAGGATAGGGGAACATCCACTCACTGGACGGGACCAAAAATGACTCCTGGCTGATGTCATTATTTTTGGTTTTGGCCGCCCCTGTCACAGTCGCCGATGCCGTACTCTACAGCCGTTCCAGGTTGGCCTGTCGTTGCAGGACGCCGAGCAAGGGAACCCAGGGCTCGGCGGGCTGGGCGGGCAGGTCGGTGGGCAAAGGCGCGCAGCTTGGATTCGCCATCTGCTCAGCGAAAGTTTTGAACAGCAAGACACATCAGGTAGATTCAGGTACCAGGACCCACAAGGGGGTGTACCCCTTAGCCTCCAAGGGGCTATCAATAGGCACCCCTTGGGGGGGTCATGGGGGGTCCTGGTATAGTGCAGTTTATGGTCCTCACGCGAAACGCGACGGACTGCGCCGTCTCCTCCCGCGCCCAGGTCGCAGGCCTTGTTCCAGTATTTTGACCCGAAGAAGCAGGGTGAGATTTCATATAGTGCTCCCGGCATGTGCGGGCTATGACGGGAGCGGCATGTGGAGCTCTTGGACTGAGAAACCAGTCGTTTCTGGCGAGGTCGACCTTCAAATCAGAAACGTCCATCAACGGTGTTTCATCTTCTAGGTTCAAGCAAGTACTGTTTGGACGGTATCGCCGGAGATCAAGTAAGCTCACTGGAGCTCCCAGGGCTGTTCCTTTCAGGAGGGAGGGTTTGTATTGCCAACGGATGGTTCTTTTTCGGCTGGCTTTTTCTAAATCGGAGAATGCACAAACTTTGGGAGTGCAAGACTCTAAATGTTCACAGTCTGAAAAGGATCACCTGAAAAGGGAGCGGCCTGTACTTCAGGGACTTCAGAGTCCTCTCTTTGTTCGACTTTTGCCGGGGGGACACGAAACGGCGTTCCGAAACCAGGTGGAACGGCCACCGGCCAGGTGACTTCACTCAGACTCTTCGCGGTGAGGCGGGGAGCTGTGGGGCGGGAGCGGGGCGGTGATGCACAAGTTGAAGAGCTTCAAGATGCCCCGTGGGCATCGGGTCAGGTAGTAAGGCCAGGAGCACCTAGTAGCGTCCCTTGTTCCAGGTAGGTTCTGGGTTTAGGCTTTGAGGTGGTCAGTGGTCAGCGATTCGCATTCAGCGATGCGGGTGCTCAGCGCCGATCCGTTGGGAGGATCCGTTCCCACCCTCGCGCGATCAATGTCTTGGGGATCAGATGAGGAGGAATGTTTCTGATGTTTCTGGTGGACCTAGTTCTCCCTGCATCAAGACCTGGTTTTCAAGAAGCGCTCCCACAAGCGTCGCGGAATCGTGACATCATGGAAGCCTGCAAAGGAGCCGTCTCCGCGATGTTGGGGTGTGCTTCGGATGTTCCGTTTTTGGAGCGAGTGGTATGTTTGAGGGAGGTTTTGAGAGCCACCTCGTTTTTTGGCTAGAAAGAAAATTTGTTATATTCAAAACAAACACATTTTAATTAAAGTTTTGATATTTCTATAGACACTACTAGCCAGTTTCAACTACACCCCTCTACGCCTCAAGTCAGGGCGTCTCCTTCCGATCGTCTCCCTCCTCCGCACGATCCCATGATCGTCTCCGCGCAGATGCCCGCGTTTGCGGCCTCCTTAGCTTTTATGGATCAATACAGGGGCTCGGAGGCCCAGGACGTGGAACACAGCCGAGGAGATGAATTGAAGGACGTTTTTCCTGTACACCTTGGAACTGCCAACTGCTCCCCTGTCTCAATGCCTAAAATCCTTGGTTGCAGTCTTGACTTTGTGTTGCTTTACTGTATCCTTGCTTTTCTAGCTTTCACATCTTTTCCACACTCTAGTTTGTTTTCTGCTCTACGGGATGTTGCGCTTTGTTTCACCTAAGGGACAACCCAAGTGTCATATAAACAAAACTCATTCATTCTTTACCTCCTTCTCGATTATGATGCACTTGTCTCATGTTTGTGTGCCCTGCGGGCGAAGTTTTGTTTTTGTTTTTGCATTCAGTCTGGTCCAGTTGGGCAGTATCGTTTTTGCACATAGGCCCTAGATGCCCTGAAACATAATAATCATGGACATGGAAATGAGATCCTGGACAGTTGTTTCTTCTTCAAACTACGAAAGAAACCAGGACAGCCCCAAACATCCTCCCCAAACATCCTCCCCACTTCCGCACCCCTCTGACGACACCTCTTCCCCCCAAATCCCACCCATCACCCCTTCGACGGGGTCGGTCCGACCGGGTCCGGGCCACTGCAGGCCACTACCCCTCGAACATGGCCTCGCTGCGGCGAGTCCAACCGCGCTTCGATCCGGAGGCCCCGCGGCGGGGCGCTCCAGCGTTCGAAAGGGGGCAGGCACCCGGGGTTGCGGGGGGGAAGCCATCATTGGATGGCGCGCGCTTTTGTCCAGGTTTTGTCGGGTGTTTTTGGGGTCCGTTTTCGGGACGGGAGGGGGCGACGTGCGAGTGCCGCAAGGTCCGGACTGCTGCTGGGGGGTGACTTGAGTCTTTTTCGGGGTCACTTCGATAGTTCGGGTTGAGGTGGAAATGAAGTTGATACTGTAAACATCTTGCAAGACACCTGTCGGAATGGCTTTGGTGTCTGAAGTGATCTTTAGCGCTGTTTGTTACGAGTCCGGTCTTCACCCATCTACAGCTATGCCCTTGCCGTCCTTGCTTCGAATCCGGAAGATGGATCGTCTCGTCCAGAATCGGAAGAGACCAGTTCTGCCTGAGTCTGTCGGGAAGAGAGGAAACGAATTTGAGTTCCGCTCTTCAAAGTCCGTGAGGAATGCAAAAGAGAGGCCTTTTTGAGAGAAGACCTGAGGGATTTTCTTGAAATCCAACATCTTGAAGAATTTCTTGGTTTGAGAATGTCGGCTGACATGGTGACCGGAGACTGGCCCCGACTAACGAGAGACCTTCTGGCGGGGCCTTTGTTTGGTTCGCGGAGACGGAGGACTCCGATGTCCCCGAGTCCTGCCTCCTCATCCCTTCCCTTTGAACATGCTTCGGATTCAAAAAGGGTTCTCGCAGTTGTGTCCCAACATACACATGAAAACGATCCTTCTATTTGTGCGGAGGTATTGGGGTAAAAACCCAGTCTCTCACAGATCCGACAGTCTTTGTGCAGGAGACGGACGAATGGTTGGAATCCTTGGAAGCTGTTTTGAAAACCCATGGTGCGGTGCCCTGGGGTGGCCTGGAGTGGCTTGCATGAGTGACTTCCCCCCGAGGCCTTCAGAAACTGCTTTCAACCTTGAAAGATGGGTGCTAGGTGGCTAAGGTTCACTTTTAGATGTGCTGGCCAATGAGTTTTTTTTCCTTTTTCGGTACGTAGACGGTTGGTTGGGGTGTACTCTGTACTCGTACCGCTACCCCCGTGGGGTTCGGCCGGGGCGCTTCTGGGCGGGTGGCGCGGTGTCGTGTGACACCTCGGCGTCCCAGGTCCCACCCGTGCCCGTTTCCTGCTGCACGAGCTGGGGGATGAGGTGCGAGGAGCGCGGAGCGCTCAAACGCGCTCCGGAGGTGCTTGAAGGGGTGCTGAACGGAGGTGCTTTGGTCTGGAGAAAGGTTTTTTCCTTCAGAAAGAGTTGTGAGATAGTGAGATGGTGGGCAAGGATTCTTGAGAGGAATTCGATTCGAAATTCGAGTCCCAAACAGGGTACCAAGGTCCCTGTTGCTCACTGCACCTGTACTGAGACAGCTGTGACTGGTATCACTGACCTCCTACTCGAGATGGACTGTGTGGCAACTACGCCTGTGACGCGCCGCTGCGGGAGGCTCAAGGCAGTCTCTTTTTCAGGCCCTTGGTTCATGTGGAACCATTTCCCTGTGTAGTACGCCGTGGCGCCAGCAGGTTTCTTGGCTTGACTCCTGGCCCCCCTGGAGTGAATCAGATCTACTAAGAGGTTTGTTCCTCGTATCGAACACCCACCCACCCACGCATTTAAGCCAATGGCGACTCGCCAGGCGTTTCAACGGACGTTCGCCAGGTTTCATGGCGCTGGGGCGGTGGATTTCGCTGCTGTCGCTCCCAGCCACCTGGGCGGCCTGGGTGAGTCTGAGCGACCTGCAAGGTGAGGTGGATCGATCTCAGCGGAGACTGGGACGACCCCGGGGTGACTGTGGCAGGGGGGGGGTGAATTGAGCTACATAGAAGGTAGGAAGGTAGGTATATGATGGTATATGATGGTATATCAGAGCCAAGTGAACAGGATACAAGGGGTCTATTTGGGAATATGGATGGTTTCGTGGTGGCAAGGATCTGACCCTTGTGCTTTGGGGCGTCTTCGGCTGCCACAGTGCCCACGTCGTGGACAGATTCGCTTTGTTTGGAAAGACACTCAGGGTTTTCCCCTGTCAAAGCGCTCGAATATTTTTTTGGGGAGACTCGATCAGTCCACCCTATCCCCACCATGTTCTGTTTTTCGAAACATCCACGAACTCAGACCACTGACCCCGCAGCTGGCGCCCAGCCTTTTGGCGTGTTTGGGCCAGATCCGCTGGTGGTGGAGGCCTTCCAGACCAACGCGCTCAGCTCCCCCAGCCGCCCCGGAGCACCGCTCTGGTGGTGTCAATCGAGATTTGGAAGCAAGACCCCCTGGATCGAGGAACCTCAAAGGAGATGCCTTTTCTGGCACCGTCACCGGATCCGCGACGAAAACCCGATCCTGATCCGGCGAAGACTCGGGCAGGTGACCTCTCACCCGATCCAGTGGAGAAGGCGGAGGCTTCGCCGCCTTCGCCTGCGTGGCTTGGAGCCTGGGGTCGTTCGCGTGGGCTGGTTGGGCTGGTGAACTGCAAAGCAGGGATGAAGAGGTCTGTCCCACCCGTCACTTGGCCTTTCAGCTTTGGAACTGGGCATGCTTTAATGCCAAAGAGGTGTTGGTCTGAGTGAAAATCTCCGGATGGGGAAGGGAATGCCGCATGCCTTAAGCCAACGATACGACCATCTGTGGAGTTACTGCATGGGTGAGATCCTTAGTGTCTGCAGCTACACTCTCCCGAGAGAAAGATAGACCTTTCATGACCTTTCCACCAGCTTCCAAACTGGAGGTTTTTCATCAAGGATAGGGCACTATATAGATGCACTCATCTCCGCGGCCCATGGATGGGTCTAAAAACCTATCCATTTCCGGGCAGGTTCGACCGTGTCCCGAAGCCGAGGCCGGAGGTGTTAGAAGCCACCGAGTTCCTCCAGCGGCACTCGCGTGAGCTCGAAGAGAGTGCCTTGGGAAGGAGAAGCCTCCCAGCCTTAGCCCAGGTTAGCCCTTGGACCAGGCTCTCCATGGTTCTCGTGAGTATACAAGTTCTTTACGCGTATTATTTTTGGAAGTATCCTGTATCCTTTTGTTTTTGAATGAAGGATAGGAGCAGTGATTCTTCCCTATTTTCTCTCATGCTGAGTCACATCAGCATGTTCAATGTTCCGATGTTCCTGGCCTCACCAAGATCGAGAAGCCTCCATGATCATGTGCTCAGTGAAACTGCACAGAAACCACTGACAGATCCTACGCGGACGGCCTAGCAAGATGTGAATTGTCCACCGCATTGCGTGGCTTCGAAGCCACACAGTGACATCAGTGAGTCCAAAACAGATAGAACTCAGGCCATCCTCCTCTTGAACAAAACATCTCTTGGACTCAGACTCCATGACTCCATGCAGAAGAGTTTTCCAGGGAGGACCTCTTTGAGACACGAACTCCGTCCCACCGAACCTCCGTCCCACCGGCCCTGTGACGGTGCTGAGATCACGTGAACCTCTCGGCCTTGTTGTCGCTGGAGCGCTTGGATCCCAACGATCCCAACACGCCGAAAGGGCCCACCCAGGACCGCGGAGCGGAGTCCGGGGGTCGGAGCTCCGGGGGTCGGGGTTGTGGGGTGCGAAGTGGGGTGCGAAGTGGGGTGCGAAGTGGGGTGCGAAGTGGGGTGCCGAGCGGATCCCCCAAAAACAGGAGGGCTGGTGCTGATAAGAACATGTCAGTTTGGGAGATGCACCCTGCGTTTTGGTTCTTTGGTAAAAAGGGTCGGTGGGGAACCTTCAGGAGGAGCTGGCTGAGGTGGACCAAGCCTCCGGTGGGCGCTCCAGAGCCATTTTGGCCAAGGCTGCGGGGACCGCTACCGCGGGCGGGTGGTGGTGGGGTAGGTGGTGCAGGTGAGGGAAGACACGGTGAGATGAAACTTGTGGAGGTGCACGAATTGGAGCCCTTTTTGCAATTAGAGACATCATTCATGATGGATAGAAATTCTCCATTGGATTCCAGGCTTGTGAAAGGCCTTTGAACAGGGATTCATGTATATATATACCGCCGGACTGAAAGTTAGAATGCCTATCACCGGGTGGGGAGTCTAGGTTTCGGCTACCACTTAGAATGCCTCCCAGCACATTGAGGCGTACCTGATACGTGTCTTAAACAAATATTGAGACGTACCTGGGCTAATTTGTATATAATATATATGAATTGTTGAAGTGTTTTGCCTAGTGCCTTGGCTCAAAAAAGGAAATTTAGGTATTTGAGCTGGCGCCATGCAGCAAACGTTGCATGCCGTCTTGAAAAAGACCATGTCAAATCCAGATCCGCCGCCTCTTCCAGCTCCTGTGAATCCACCATCTCCACCATGATTGAACTCATCTCCCATTGAAGATCTATATATACTTGAGAAATATATATATATATACATACACATAGTGTTTACATGATTCAATCACTGTATAGAGCTCATTTGATGCAAAACACTCTAGCCGGACTGACAGTTAGAATGCCGCCCTAAATCTTTACTATTTGTGGGGCCGTGCAGGCATTCTAAGTGTAGGAAAATGAGACACGCATTCTAAGCCTCCACCCTGGAGCCGGTACGGCATTCTAACTTTCAGTCCGGCGGTATATATATATATAATCTCTTTTTCTAAGATCGATTCTTATTTTTTTTGGTCAACGTCTGGAGTCAGAGGCCGGCTGAAGTGAGGTCGGTGTAACCTGGATGTGCTTCCATCCTCCTTTGGTAAGTATACTTTATTCTTTTTTCACGAACTTCCATTTCACGCTTACAGCCCTATGGCCCTATGAGTCAGGCGATGCCTGGGCCCTAGGCCACATCCTATCCTTGGGCACAGTCCGAGACGTGCATTCGCCCCGCTGTAACCGTTTGGACTCTCCAAAGGCCTTTGCCTTGGCCAAGCGCATCCGGAGCCATGAGGGGAACTTGGTGGCCAGTGTCGCCCGGAAGAAAAGACATGGAACAGGGGGCGGGATTGCTCGGGCGGAGCGAGCTCTGGGGGTGGGATTGTCCAACACGCTGCTGGAACTCCAAGGCACAAGGGAAGATGTGGAGAAGGCTGCGACCCGACCCCACTGGGAAAACGGGAAACTCCAAGTCCTTGTGATTGTTGATTTTGATTGGCTCATGAGCTGTGTAGATGACAGCTTGGAGCTGGGTCTGCTATAGCGTGCAGGTGATTTTTGATGCTGTTTTTGCGATAGTTGTGGTCATCAACTTCAATAAACGCTTTGCATGAGCAACCCTCAAAATGGGCCTTTTTTCGTGCGTGGCTGGACATGAGGGAGGGTCCACACAAGGCCGTCCGCAGCGGTTCAGAGTGGATGCCACAAACCCCGTTCAACCACTTGAGATAGCTTTGTATCCATCTAAACCCACCACCTTGGGGTTTGGTGTTGTGCCGGCGTCGAACAAGTCGAACGCCCTGCGGGGGCCTACAGGTAGTGAATGTGGTGAATCCCGACAACTGCTTGACGAAGCTCCTCTACTTGCTTTACAGAGCCTTTGCAGATGGCTTGCTATTGCAGTTTGTTGGCAGACGCATCCGTATTGGGATCTAGGAGAGTTTTAGGATGCTGAGATAGCGCCTATGAGCATGAGACGAGCAGTGCTTTGCATGCTTCAGTGGTTCTTTTCCGGGCGTCGAGACGCTTCGAAGGCTGGGCCCGTTGCCCTTGTTTCCAAACAATACTCCTTATGATGGACACTTCAACATTACTCCAATGCCTAACAATCAGAGAACCGAAGTGCTGATAGTTCCTCAGACCCCCAGCAACATCGCCAGCATCACTTTGGCTTGAGAGCATTTAAACATACAGCTGACAAGTGCAACCCCAGCCATAGTTCAGGTGTGGCAGATGTTCAGTATTATAGTCGCAAACACTACCAACCATCCTAACCCGCAGGTCGGAGATGAAAAAGGTCCCAGCTTTTCGAGCGCCCAGGATTTGAGAAGGAGGATGACTTCCCATATCTGCCCAGAAAGCTTGGAAGTCCCCTGAGCCGCCTTTGGAGCTGTGGGAGTTCAGGGAGATGTTGGCCCAGCCCCCGCCCCCCCAAGTCTGGACGGCTGGACCCCTGGTGGCGACTGGGGGTGCCACCAAGTGGTGCCTGGGGGTGTCCATTCGCGCCTTGGAACCACCACTGGAGAAGGGGGGCCTTCTTGGGGTGTGTAGGTTACGCCTCGCGATGCACGTTTCGGACCTTCGCGGGTCCCACCGATCGGGGCGTTCGAGAGGGGGTCGCCCCGCCGGAGGTCCGGTGCACGGCCGCGTCGGGGAGCCGGGAGCCTCCCCGAGGTTGTGACATTGGCTTCAACTTTCAGATGGGCGAAGTGACGGGTGGCTTCTTTGGCTAGTTCGGCCGAAGAGCCGAAGAGCCGAAGCTCGGACGGATCCCCACTGAGAGGACAGTGGGAACTCACGGACGAAAAGAGAGGCCGCCGCGGTTGAAGGCGCCGAAATGGTAGGAGGACGAGGTGTGCCAAACTCGGGGTGGCGAGTTGTTTTGTGAGAAATCTCTTGGTTGAAGAGCCAGTTGGAGGAGTAGAGCACCTTTAGCACTTGCGTGTGTCAAGGGATCTCCCAAAACTGTTATTTCTTTTTTTTTCTGGAGGCCGTCAGGCCGTCTTGCTTTGGGGCTTAACATCAGCCAACCAGCACAGCACAGCACAGCCGTCTTCGACTTCGGGCCGGCCTCGGAGGATCCCCCTTTCCTCGTTTTGCCTGGACAGGTGGGAGGTGCTCCCAGCTCGATCTTCTTGGAAGAAGGGACATAGACCAGCTCCACTCCCGGGTCTCTTCCCTTCTTTTGGAGTCCGTCTGACGAGTTCAAGATGGTAAAACATGCAACCAGGCCGTGTTGACGGCAAGCTCGGTGCTTCGGCCGAACGGGGGCCGGTCTGACGCTGCCACCATGCCGGTGTTTCGGGTGTTTCGGGTGTTTCGTCCTGAAACTCGGCGGTTGGAGGGAAGCTCTCGGTGTTTGAGGGATTATTGGTGCACGTTTCGGAAGGACGTTTGAGGATCTGGGTGAAGACGGCTGATCGGCCAGGCCGTCAGAAGAGGCGTGAACATCTCAGCCTCCATCACCACGCCGATGTGCGCCTCGCTACCGCAGACCTGCGCTGTGTAGGTACTTACGGGTCCACTCATTGGTTTGCAGGTCTGGTGCGGTAAAGCTGCAAACCAATATCAAACATTCGTGTCGAAGGGGGATGTCCATGAAGCAAGGTCTAAGGACACCAGCATGTGTGGTTGAACATAATGAACATATGTGTGTTTGTGGTCTTTAGGTGTCTTGAGATCTCAAAAGACAAATGTTAAATAAAGGGATCAACTTGCTGTCAAAGTATGAGGACTCGGATGGAAAACCCGTGCGGCATCGGATGAGGAGATGTAGTAGGAGGCTTTTTTTCTGTCATTGATGTTCCTTCACAACCAAGATCTCCTTACGGCTGCCGACCATGGCTCAAGCTGAAAAGCAAAGTTGCTAGTCCAAGGGACATGGGGAACTCACTCAATCTTTTCTCAATTGTTTTTTATGCAAGGCATAATCCAAAGCATGTTGATCAGCAGAACCATGCAGTGGTTGAGGGAGCGGTGTTGATCCAACCTCTTTGGCCCACTTTGATCAAAACCCATTTATGTGTGGTAGTTGTCCCACCCTGGCAGGCTTTGCACCGTCGTACAGCGGAGTGGTACCAGCACCACATCCTTCTGATGGTCTCTACTGGTTGGGTCTCCGCCATGGCCGCATGGGCCGCCCGGGCTTGTCACACGCCCGGCGCTTGCGCCGCGCGTGGCGCTTGGGCTCCCAACAGGGAGCTGAGAGTGTGTGGAGCCCAGGAGAGATGGATTTGTGGGAAGGTTCGATGGAGGAGGTTTTTGGTGCCCAGACCACGCGCCTTTTTTCTGAGTCCATGGGCTTGGAAGGAAGGTTTTTCACCCAAGGTAATGGTTAGGGGGCATTTGATCAAGATCAAAAGATCCGTTTTTCTGAACTAATATATATATATATATTATACAGTACAGTAGTGAACCACCTCTTGAAAGGAGTCATGGGATGAGGGTAGAGCGATGAGGGTAGCCCGTCTACTTTTCAGGCGATGACCAGTCGCGCGACGAGACTTGCGGTGAGACGAGACTTGCGCAGACTGGAACCCCCCTCCCGGTTCTGAATTTCCATGGCGAATCCCACGTGGCCACCGAGCTGGAAGACCTCATTGGCTCCCACGGACTTGGGACCCGCCCGTTGGACGTGCCCCGGACCGAACCTCGACGCAGGAGGGCGCGGCGAGGCGAAGGAGAACGGCGCGGGAGCGGTGCGCCTCCTCTTCGCCCAGGAGAGGTCCGAGGGCTTTTGAAGGGCCTTGGCCGAGCGCGTGGGAAGGGCCTTGGTGGGGTTGATCGGTCGGGGTGGGGCCTAAAGAAGACCTGCGGGGGTGTTCGGAATTTCTGCGGCTTTTCTGTGAGGTGGATCTCGGTGGCGGGAGATTGCTGAGTGTTTTAAGACATGTGGAGAAGTACCAGATCAATTGGATTCAATTGAGTGTGTGAAGCAGAAAGGGTAATCTTACCAAGGAATCGGTTTCATGGGCTTTGATACCAAGCAAATATATGAGTGATTATGAGATGATGTAGCATTCGCTTCTCTTGGGTGGCCGCAGCCAGCTCTTGAAGATAGTCACCTGCCCTGGGAGGTCAAAAGGCAGACTGCTCCCCTACACCTGCAGGATGAACGATCAAAATCCTGGGTCACTGGCGCGCCCATGTGACTTCTTTGTGCTTTGTGTGGAGATTCTCCTTGTGTCCCATCTGGCATGGTTCTCTGGCCCCGCCAGGAATGTCCGGTTTTGCTCGTCCAGCCTCGCCAGGAAGAGCTCCAAGCCTTGGGATCCTCTGAAGAGACCCAGTGGCGCGAGGCCCTGAGGCACTTGCGCGAGGCCGGGTTCCCTCCAACAGCGACGCTCCTGGTTTTCTCGGGACGAAGGGGACGGGACTGCCTGGACGGACCTATTGAGTCGTGCAGAAGAAACTCCTTGACGCGCTTCCAATGGGTGTCCAATGGTGACCTATAAGATCCTATAAGTGTAGGGTTGTCCATTTTTGTGTGTCGGTGAGGTAGCGAGAGCACTGCCCTTCTTTCTCAGTCTTAGAATCTTAGGATCCTCGACCCCAAGTCTTCCAAGTCTTCAATCTGCTCTGGAGGCCAAGCCGCTGGAGGTCCGCTACTGGGGCGCTGGCATCGGGGCCGCTGGGTGGAAAGAGGAGGGGGAGATGGGGTGATGGGTCTCTCCAAGCATCATGGTTTGGATGGTATGGCACCTTTGCGATTTCTTAACCACTTCTAGTGTCAGTCATGAAGGTCCGATGTGTCCAGCGGCGTGACGATCGATGGTGGGGACGCAAGGCACCGGGGCGGGGCCCTGGTTGTCCCACGGCCAATGAACAGAATAGACTGCTAAGGAGGAGGTCAACTATACCAGGGTGAAACGAGCTCCAAGTCGAATAGAGGTGGTGCGACCCGATGTCAGTTTCGATGGATTTTCAATGGCTCCGCTGGATCCTCTTTTCGAGGATCGAATCCACGTGAATGAATCCGTGGAGCAGCCAGGCAAAACCGGATGAATCCTTGGCAGATCGTGCACCTAGGATGTCTTGAGAACCTTTGGTCACAAGATCTGTGGCAGTCTCCTTCTGGATTCCCAGGCATGTGCGCGTCATCATTTGTGGACCTTGGCGCTGCAGCTGCTGGTGGAGATGCGGCAGAAGGAGGCGTTTTGATGTGCAAAAGCATGGTGTTTGGGAACATGCAAGGATGAGAGAAACGGCTTCCAAGGAGCAGAGATGTGATTGCGAGAAGAAGTGGTATGGATGATTGACAAAGCGTAGTCCGACAGGGGTTTGATATGCTTTACACTCTCTGAAATTGTACTGTAGTGGAAAATCACTAAAACCATCTATTTGCTTTTCGGATGTCATGGTCATCCGAAGTCGAGACCATGCCATCCACGTTCACCCATCATGTCCAGAAAGTGTCAAGGCCTGGGTCCACACCCAGATAGGGTCCAAGACGCAGAGGTACACGTTGCCTTGGCTGATTCCGGCGATACACGGAACACGGGGCCATCATGATGCTGGACTCGGTCTCATTCTACAGGTGTTGCCGTAGATTTGATGCTACTTGTTGGTGGGAATGAGGCATATCAAACCCTTATGAGCCATCAATCCCAATTTCCGCTGAAGGAGCATACACGAGCATACTACCTTTGACCTCAAAAATGGTGGCACAGACCCAGCCTGTAGCTGCACATATGGTTCTCCACAAGGTTTACCAAACCCTTGAGCCTTGAGGCACCCCGGTGAACAGGGCGGTCCGGAATTTCATCCAACCTGTCCTATACTAGGCGGTTGATCAGACCCCCATGGCGTTCGACCCGCAGGCTGTTCAACCGAATATCGTGCAGCTTGGAGAACGGTAGAGCGTTGTGTGCTGGGTTTGGCCCACCAGAGCGCAGTTGTGAGCTGCAGGTTGCTGCTACATGCTGCACCCCTCCCCCCCCAAATCACAGGCCACCGAAATCACAATGGTTGTCCGTTTCGGGCACCTTTTTCGCCAAGTTGAGATCGTGTGCGGTGGGTTCAGCAGCAGCTTCAAGGGCTTTGGTTCGCCTACACTGGAGTGCATGACAGGGTCTCATTCAAATCCACCAATAAGAAGAATCCTAAAGGTAAGAAAGAATCCTGGAAATCGAGGGAGATGTCGTAAGTTGTCTTTATGAGATTGTACATCCTCGATTTCCTGATCCATGACAAATATCATACTGAAATAAAGTCATATAAAATTTATGACGGTTATTTAAAGTTATTGTTATTATTATCATTTATATCTTCAGCCATTTATGACATTCCTAGGAGCGCCCCCAAACAGGCTGTTTTGGGCCCTGTTGCTGGTGGTTTCTGGGCACCTGTTGCTGGTAGGAGTGCTCCTAGTTTCTCGATCATCTCTGGCCCATGGAGTGCGCTCTTGCTGTACCTGCTTCGCGATGAACTCCGATTCCAGTGTTTCCGTTTTTGTTTGGACCTGGAATATAATGGTATTTTGTATTTAGTTTGTGGCAATGGACATTTCAAAGATTACAGCAATTTGTCCCCGGAAATTCAGTGACCTTGGTGGTTTGCCTTTGATGTTGACTTTTGGTGCTTCTTTGTAAAGTCTTCGTGTTTTTGGGGCGCTCTCCACGAACGTACGTCCAAAGTCAGGTGCTTCAACGCTGCGATGGCCGCCTGCGAGCGGGCCTTTGCCTGGACCGGCGCGTGGACCATCGCGGCTCCGAGACGCCGCCCTGGTCGTGTGTCGAAACGGGGAGACCCTGGTGCCAGATCCTGGGGATGTCTGGTCATCTTAAAACAGGGATCCGGACCTTTGATCCCTGTGCGAATTTCCTCTAAAAAAGTAGGACTAGGTCGTTTTCGAAGGGGGATGACCTTCGTGTGCCTTTTTGGGTCCTTGAACTCTTTGGAGGAAGCGGGTTGGTTCCAACTCATGGGGCTTCCTCGTTCGAAAGCACCGTTTAAAACGCCAGTGCCGAAGATCTGCACCCCATGCTGGTCCCAGTGGTGCACCGGTCCAAAGAATAGCTCGAGCGCAAGGACCGTTGTTCCATGTGCCAGCTGGAGTTTCTTGTGCTCCCGAAGAAGATTCCTACATATTCCTACTAGGTTTATACGCTTCCTCTTCAGTTCACTGAACGCATCGCCAAGAACGATTGCGAGCTGCAGGAAACCCGTGCCTGCGGCTTGAGTGGACGGATCTCAAAAATCTAATTTCAGTGATACATAAACGTCATCTCCTTTGACAACATCGCAACATCACCACTTGGTTTTCATTGCTTCAGGACCTTCCCCCAGACGACCGGGCGGTCGTCTCACACACCTGCGTCAGGCCAAACTGGCGTCCGTTCCGGCGTCCATTCTAGGACGCAGGCGCTGGAGCTTTTCTCCCAAGCTTTTGAGCTCAAGATGGCGAATGTACGGGGCACCCAGCGGTCTTGGTGGGTCGACTTCGGTGGCCGAGCACCATCTTCGGCCGAACAAAGACGGGTCTTCAGAATGGAGCAAGACTGATAGAGTGGTCACCGGTCTGAAATAAAAAGTGGTGAACATTTCTAAGGCTTCATCTGTGAACGGGTTCCAGTGTGAGAGCTGTGGGAGCACAAAGGTCATGGCCTTTGGATAAACATCTGATTTGCTCTGCTCCTTCGGTGCCCCCAACTCGTCAATGGAAAGGTCCGGCCTGGGCCTGGCCCTACCTACTTCTCTTAGAAGCAGGTTCCTTCGGACCTGCCGACCAAACAGGAACCCCTTCGAACTCCTTCCGACCCAAAAGGACCCCCCTCCCTGCCACGGACGCCGGCATCTGCCACGGACGCCGATCTCGACCTGCAGAGTTGGCTCAGAGATTTCTCGACCCTTCGCGGATCCAAGGCGGACCGGCTCGGATCTGCCACAAACGCCGGTCTCGGCGTCGAATCGAATCGAACCAAGGAGGTAGGTTGAAGGAGGTACGTGTTGGACTCCAGGTGAAGGCAGTCAAGTCAATTCGCTGCTGTTGAACTTCTTTTGGAGGTCCTTCCATTTCTTCCATATGCTTGCTTTGGCCTTCAGCTTGAGATACCCCTTCTCTCGAAGAATGAGGAGATCGTTTCCTTGCGCGGCCTCGCCCCCCGCTGTTCCAACGCGGCCTCGCCCCCCGCTGTTTGGTGGTCTGGGGACGTCGAAAACACCTCTTCCCCGTTTCCCGGGTGGAAGAGGGGGGGCGAGGCTTGGGGCTTGGGAGTGGGAGGGGAACGCTATAGATCTTGGATGGTCAAACAGTTAAGACCTCTTTCTTCACATTGGGGAGTTTTCATTCATCAACAGTCTACATGAACATGTAAAACCATCTCAGACCTTGATCCACTTGAGCCAAAAATACGGCGAATCGCCGTCCGTGTGTCCCGCTTCTTGATCGGAGAGAGGGGGGCCAACGGCTTCACCCCGGTCGGTCCGGCGTCGGTGAGGCGCCTGAAATCATGGGCGACTGTAGCAAGGTGTGCTTCGATGAGGCTGAACATCCACCGGCCGCACTGTGGTCGTTGGGTTGGGGTCGATGGGGTGGGCAGGGTCGACGGGGCGATGCGGACATGGAGACATGGGTGGAGTATATGGGATATTTGGATCAGCTGATGTGTCAGAGTCTTCGGGTACATGGGAGTCGCAAAATCGGTGTGTGAACAAATAGACCCCATGTACTGGCAGGCTTTTTGGTGGCTCCTCCCTCTTACTCCTCGCTGGCGAAGGATGTATGCCATGTGGAGCGATCTATTTTTCGCAGCCAACACGAAGAAGTACTGTAACTGAACCAACATGGCTGGTGCATAGCAACCCCCCCAGATGGAAGCTCCTGCAGCTGCTGCACTCCTGCTCTCAGCTGCTTGTCTTTGCCCCGCGGAAGGAAGTGATTGAAGAAGGGAAGTATCAAAAGGTGCAGATGGGCACCGGAAACTATGCCCTGCACTGCGAGCCACTCGTTTGCCACTCGAGCCGGCGGGCTCCGGGTCTCACGTTCGGACCGTCCAGCGGAGACGGATCTTCGTTCGGTCGAGGTCTGCGATGCGTTTTAGGCTGCAGTTTTCTTAAGCGTCTGGCAGGGCTGCAGGTATGGCGAGGGTGACATCAAAGTGCCATGGATGTTTGTTTCCTCAGATCACTTTGAAGAGTTTGGCCATCCTTCTCCTGGGCTAGTCAGCTAGTCAATCAAGTCATCTGGGAGAGGTTTTCTTCCTCTCCCTCAGGTTTTGTTTTTCTCATCCTGCGCCATTCTTCGCATTTTCTGGGAGCTGTTTTCTTTCTCTTCTTTTCACCGTGATGGGCCCCGTGTCGGGCCGTGTCGGGCCCGGTCGGCCGAGGTACAAACCGACTCCCGGTGGGGACTATGAGAAGGTGCACCCTCGCACGGAGATGCGCTGCTTGGGTGGATGTTTCTGGGGATGGATGGATCCTTGTGTCATCTGCAGCAAATCAAGGAAACCTTAAAGGGCTGGAATCCTCGAGAGCGCCGCATCGTGTGAAACCTTCATATATAGGGGCGGGGCCCCCACTCTGTGGCGGCAGGATTTGGACCCCTTTCTCGGTCGGATATCCCCCGCTTCACCCTGCCCTGCTAGCTTTCGTCACCAACCCTCGGCCTCAAGTTTTGTTATGTGTTCTTCATTTTTGTGCTGCTATGCTGCATTATGCTCAGGTTCTGTGTGTGGATTATGCCAACCATTGGAGAGTGTAGAACCTTTCTAAAGCATCACCCGCTTTAGCTGGTGCACAGTTCCGGCTTCGATCTCCTCGCGACGGGGTACTCAGTTGGCAGTGATCTTTTCATTTAGAAGACCTCCCTGCCCCCCGTGGGTAGACTGGTCTATGTCCCAAATCTTCCAGGTACCTTCCAGGTCTTTCTGATATTGAGCTAAAAAAAAAAATATATAAAAAGTATATGTTGGGCGTCCAAGATCCGCACATCTGTTTTCAGAGGCTCTGGAGGATGGAGGTGCGGCCCCGTCGCAGCTACGAGGGAACCTGGCCATCGCAGCTAGGTTCCCTCCTATGCCTTCGAAGTATAGAAGGTGTTGGTGCATATTGGCATAGTGGTACATGCCATCCCCAGCAAGTCCAGGGTCCCTCCCATTCAGCCAACCATCAAGGGCAGGGGAATGACCTGGATTTGGATCGCCTTGACGACCGAGGTTGCAACACCTGCTGCCAGGCACCGGAGTGACCAGACTCGGACCGTGGATGGATGGAGATGCCGACTCAGACCCTGCCGGCCCCAAATCAAAAGGACGGTGTTTCCAAGTCGCACTTTTGTTGGAACGCCATTTGCTCCAAAAGTCTTGTGGACTGGAGACACCACAGGTTGAGCGTTGAGCCCATGAGTTTCCGTGACCACTGGGTGACAATGGTGTTCGGTGCACGAATGAATGTCCAAGTGTTTTAGATCTTAGAATCTTTCAAGTCAGTCAGAATCCAGGGTGGACCACTAGCAAGGAAGATCGCTCTGTGAAGAAGGCTTCATAGGGTGTCCTGCGAAGCAGGTCACCCAAGCCACTCAACTCCTCCCAGTGTCATTGTTCCATTGGCTCCTTTCCGTGGCTTCCTGCGTGGCTTCCCTGCTTTTCACCCCCGACCACCGCGGGCATCCAGGGGGGGTGACGGGTTGCTGCCCCCGGCCACGTCGTTGCGCCGTGGCTGCGGCACGTCGTTCGACTTCGGGGACCCCGTGGCAGGTGCTCTGCTGCTTGTTGGTCTTGGGGCTCTTTGTGGGCCTGTTGTGGCTTGGACTGTGAGTCGACGAAGCCCAGTCTCGAGCCAGAAGGGTCTTCGCCTATGTAGGAACAGGTGGGTTTTGGTTTTGGTAACGATGTTCTTGGTGTGGTTTCTTGGTTAATTGTATGTTCGAGTGCTCTTTTCTAGTGTAAAGCCAGGAATTCACCTCTGCGGAGAGCATCAGACACCATGGCTGCTCCAAAGCAGTCAGAAACCTGATCCAAGAGAAACCGAGCCATCGTTTCAACTTGATGAACCTTGGCTCCGCACGTTGAATGGTTCGTTCTGCACGTTGAAGGTTGGTTCAAGGGTTGTGAGGTGGAAGACTTGGCTGTTTTGGGTTGCTTCCCATTCGACCCATCCGGATCAAGCCATGTGGGGACGACGCGGATCACCGGGCTCCTCCGTTCAAGGTTGTGGCTGACCACTGCACCGGTCTTTGGCTTCCGCGGGCAGTCGCAGATCGACGAGGCGCCATGCCGTCCTTCCGTTGGGTCCGTTCATGTGAACGATTGTTTATATTTGATTCCCCCCATATGAGGCAATTGGGTAGTTTATGGTAAGCTTTATCAAGATGCTACATCAAGCCCCGTGCAGTTTGCTCGGTCCATGAGGTTTCTGTGTGAGATCGGCGTCGACATTTCTGCCTTGGTGGGGTGGATCTCCCAACACCGGTAGCCCTGCTGTTGGTCGATTTTGTGCCATCCATCGCGAGCAGCCCGACGTTCCCAGAGGGCCTCCCCTTCTTTCCGCCCGGGCGAACCGACGGCGAACCCAAACGGCCGGCGAACCCAGGGGGCCATGGCGGGCTTCGATTGCAATGACGGCTTCGGGGACTGGCAGCAGAGGTGCACGACACCCGGAGCTTCGACGGGGGGCAGCCGGGTCGACAAGGTCGGAGGTCGCGAAGCAACGCTCGCGAATTCGACCGTTTGGGCCTCATCAAGTGGGGTCGCCTCATGGACTCATGGAGAAAAAGGCCGACGGGGCCGGGCAGACTGGGGCAGGTTCCGGTGTCGCCGCCACGGGGGCGCCAGGTGGAACAACGCCAAGAAGCAGTTCTGCTGCACTCATCACAACAAGTTCCCCGGCTGGCAAGTTGCTGAACACTGCAGAACTTGTTTTACTTCTGGGGCGGTTCTGATTGATATACAACTGGCTCAGTCTTCACAAGTGACAAGTGGTTCTTTGTGCGGGAGTTCGCAAAAAACAATGTATTTCCTTGGACTTGGACTTGGAGCCAGGAGTTGGTGTTGGGGGTCTATCCACTCCAAGATCATCGCTTTTTTCTTGCCCTGGGCATTTTTCACTGGCAGAGCTCCCGGGGCTATGAGATGTTAGAAGATGGGCTCAGAACTCTTTCAACACAACTTCTGGCAGCATTCCATCTTGCTCGCCCAGCACATCCACACGTCCCAGATCACTCCAACTTCCGACCTCTTTGGTCCTTGGGAAACGGATCTACTCCCCGACAGCCTCGGACTCGGACCGTGTCCTTCGCACGCCGCTGCTGCCACGCGTCGCTCCGCGCGTTCGCGGCCGCGCGGCGGAGCGGCTCGCTGCCGTGCCCACGCGGCCGCCTGTTTTCCCAGGGGCTGTGGGCCTGGGCAGCACGTCGGCGCCATTGATTGCAGTGGCCCCATGCTGCACTGGGACATCGATCATCGCGCCAA